GGTGGAGACGGGGTGGAGACGGGGTGGAGACGGGGTGGAGACGGGGTGGAGACGAGTAGACACGGGTGGAAACGGATAGATGGGGACAGAACCGGCTAGAGATGGCAGCCGTCGTCTGCAGGCGGCGGAGATAGCAAGTGATGCCCTCAGCGCCAGCAGTCTCGAATCCAGAAAGCTTAAACGAACCTTCCTGTTCTGTCTACTTCCCTTAGCTCACCTCGCAGCTTCCCAGTGCTGCGAGAGGGTGTTTGATTTGCGGGATATTTTAACTCGCAAGCTAAAATTCCGATCGACTTAGTGAGACAGCCGCAACGGAGTTGCGGACTTCCGCCCACTTTATCACGTTGGTCCAAGGCTTGAAAATAACTGGCAAAATGAGGAATAAACTTGACTCGGTTTCATCACTCGAATCTGAGTATTTTAATATTTTTCTTCTGTTAGAGCTTTCTCTTCCAAAAGTTATTTGCTTCCCATTCGAACGTATATTGGACCAAGCTTTAAATTCTTACTCAGTTGTGGTCTCTTTATATCTGGGATCAGCAGAACATGAGACATTCCGTGCCCCAACACACATGAAAAACAACGATTTAAATACTCGTAGTGTGGTATTACATCCTACGCGTTTCCGCGTGAAGGGTGTGGAAGCTTCAGTGGTTGTCCAGTCCGGAACGTGTTTTGTACACCAAGTATTCACTATTTCACAGTTGTCCAGTCTAGTCTTAAGTTTTTCCTGAATAAACAATTCTTCCTACTTCAATATATCACAACTGTTCCTACTTCAAAAACAGGGCAATATAAAATGTCCTACGACAGAAACGATCTAGGTTACATTCACATTTCAGACATTAATTTTTTCTTTGAGCAAGCAGAGAAATATATTTTGTAAACTGTAAAATATCAATAGGATTTAGAGATAGACATTGTTTAATAATGTATTTCATCATACATTTTCACAAAATTATTCTTATATTTTACTGACAGGTTATTGTTTCTTATTGCCTTCGGTTCGGAGCTCCATATACACAGCATACCTTACCTGGTTCAAGAGGATCGCAGTTGCGAGGGAAATTTGAAAACAATTAAATGAAGCGACATGCTCTTTTATAAAAAGAATTTTGAAAGGAAAATATGGGATATATGAAGAGGCAAATCGAGTCAAGCTAACATTTAAATAATTAGTAAAAAAGACGTAAATCTGAGTCAAAAAAAATGATTAAAAAATAAAACCACGTCCGCTATCTGGTTCTAATGATTGAACGGCAATTTGAAGCACGAGGACCTTTGGATTGATCATTAGACTCCTTGTAACACCGCTTATGCTTAAATATTTGTGTGTTAGCAGTAAAATATTATTTATTTGACATCCTTCAAACACTACTGAAACTAAAATCAGTACGGCGTGAACACGTGAGCATTTGTAAAAGAAATCCCTTCTTATGCGATGTTTACCAACTATTTTTCATTGTTTGAGATTGTTTCCCAATTCTTTTTTATCGTTTGATATTGTTCCTCAATGCTTTTTCATCGTTTGAGATTGGTTCCCAATTCTTTTTCATCGTTTGAGATTGTCCCCCAATTATTTTTCATCGTTTAAGATGGTTTCCCAATTCTTTTACATCGTTTGAGATGGTTTCCCAATTATTTTTCATCGTTTGAGATTTTTCCCCAATTCTTTTCCATTGTTTAAGATGGTTTCCCAATTCTTTTCCATCGTTTGAGATGGTTTCCTAATTACTTTTCATCGTTTGAGATTGTTTCCCAATTATTTTCCATCGTTTGGGATAGTTTCCCAATTTTGTTACTTCGTGCCAGCCACACCCACGCGCATCCCCATCATAAGCCCAGAAAGAAGCCGGAGCACTCACCCCCCGTCGCAGCGTGGCGGCGAGGATGAGCAGCCAGCCGAAGAGGAAGTGCGCGCCGATGCCCAGCATGACGGGCTTGCGGCCCAGCGCGTCGGCCAGGAAGCCCGCGGGCACGGAGCCCAGCAGCGCGCCCAGCGGCACCAGTGACCCCGCCCAGCTCGCCTGGTCCTCTGTCAAGATGGCCGGCAACCTGCAAGCGCAACGGATTCATAATGAACACACTTAATCTAAACAAGTGATGCCAATTACAACTGAGCTGATTAGATTCCAGTGATCGGTTGAGGACTTTTGGATCTCTTTAAGGATGGCCGTCAATCTGAAAGCGCAGCCTCATACACTGAAAACAACTTATTAGGCTTATTGAGTCTGCATGAACGAAAGAATTAAACCTGAGCTATTTATAACGGGATGCCACGGGACTTGTATGAATTAATTTGAGTAGTCATCAGCGACCTCGTCCAGCTTGCCTAGAGCACCGTTAGGATAGACAACGCAATCACATACAATGAAATGCAGTAGGCTAAACTGGACATATTTGACTAAATAAATGAAATTGATTAGACGATTGAAGGTGATGAGACGAAATGGAAATTAACTGATTTACAATGTTTCGGATAGGTGAATCTGTTCTGCCCGATTCCTTCATCACAACGATTAAGAACTCGTTTGCTTACATCGAGATGGAACTAAATTGATTGGAACTAGCCACTACAACACGGCCCATTTCGCGTAGTCCATTAGGACAGATCGGCAATGTGAGAATACATTCAGATCAATTGACCCACATTAAAATAGAAATGGGCAAATCAATATGGTCGGTACTAACCTAATTGGAGGGAGGGCGTTTAACAATGATCACACTTCTAGATTTCCAGCCCTGAATACGAATGTTTTAATCTCGGTCACTCGAAATGCACTTTGGCATACAATTTAGGGGGTTCTCTGTATTATATACTTTTGCTTTCTCCTTTCTTCTATCTTTCGGCATTGATTTATCATTCCTATCATCAACATATTCACCATTGCAGTTAAAAAACCACTGAACTCTGGAACCGGGCTCATCTAATTGGAAAACTATACTAATTAGAACGATATAGAGCTTAACGGGACTTGTCTGATTACAATAGTTTTAACTGATTAATCACTGATAATCCATCTTCTTGATTACTCATTTTTTATACTTGCTAATTTTAATGAATGTGAATCTATTGTTGGCTTATAAATCTATTGTAAAAACCTTAAAAATATGGTTCACGAAATTCATTTTCGCGAACCCCACAACTATTTGGTTTGCATACGAACTGTCCTTCCAGATGAGTTCCAGAATAACGCAGCGACATTTGCATACAGTAAATTGAATGTCGGTCAATAGCCGGCTCGGGACGTCGACCACAATGCTCGAGAGAGCGGCTCTGCTCCAATGCGATATCTCCGCCGTGCGCGGAAAACCATTCAACTCGTAAATCCCACAATGGAATCGTGTAGTAACAGCGCTCGTCCGCGCGCCCCGTGTTCGGAATACGGCGTTCGCTCTAACGGCTCGGGGAGCGTTCGCTACAACCGGAAAAGCAAACGTCGCCTTGTAAATCTGCGGTAGGTCGGGAACAACGAGTCGGCGAGATGAAGTTGCGACAGACGTGCAACGACCCGCGCGGCCCCGGCGCTGGGAGGAGAGCTAATTTGTTCCAGGAAGCCATCGCCAAGCGTTCCGCTCCCCCGGGCGCCGCGCCGGCCAGGTTAATCATTCCTCATTGTTTGTCGAAACATGGAGAGACACATGCGCTGCGAACGCACGACGGAGGCGGGGCCGGGGTAGTGGTGGTGGAGGAGATATGGAGATGGTAGCGCGAGGGGTAGGGGTGGCGGTGGAGGCACCGGTGGTGATGGTGATGGTGATAGTGGTGGTGGTGGTGGAGATGGCGGTGATTGTGGGGGCCGTTGATTGTGATGATAGTGGTGGTGGCGATAGTAGTGGTTGTGGTGGTGGTGATTGTGGTGACGATTGTGGTAGTGATGGTTGTGGTGGTGGCGGCGAGGGCGGTTTCAGCGGGACTGGAGGCAGTAGCCGGAGCAGGGATAGGGGCAGGTGACGTAGACTTACTCAGTACATAATTATTCATGTAAATAATTTGTACATTCGCAATGTAAAGTTTTAGTTCGTCTCTGGTTTTCATGGCGCATGCAGCTATCACATACGTAAAAGTAATCGTGAATACGCTGAGCAAGAACTTTACACAGCTTTTTTGTACAGTCAAATACTCGCTTGTTTTGTATATTGCAAATCATACGTGTGTAGCCTTCATATTTACGGCAGCGTACGTATTTGAGAGAGTCTTGAGAACGAAAGTATCCCTTATGCTTAGATCGGATTTACAACTCTTTGACTGCCACGTATTTTCAGCATGTGTGGGCCCCTTTATCCTAGCTCGTTCGAACCAGTCGTGGTCGCGGGGGAGAACCGGTGGTGCATTTGGATATGATGCTGGCTTTTTAGCCTCTGGGAATTGTGACCAATTGCTTCTCACCCCGTATGGAATTTTTCACCAAGGGAACGAGATTCGGTCTACCAAGCATGTAATGTCGTATAAATATCGAATTCTGGCGTACACGTATTTGAGAAAATGAATTCGGGTTTAACTTGTATGCCTGTAATTCGTTGAATTCCTCAATTGCAAGTGGGTAGGAAATATTTGCTTCCTTTAGTGTGGAAAACGCAACATAATATATATATATAAATGTCACGTGATATGTAATGAAGTTATATCGTCCATAGTTCGTCATTGTTTTATAAAATAAATCGATATGCGAGTTCTGTCCAGCTGTTGCAATGCATTGTAATGCAATGTATTGGTAAAACACAACGAGAACGCCTTTTTGTTGATGATATCACACAAAACGTTAATTTCAAGGATCTCTTAATTGCGTCAAAAGTTTTTAGTAAAACTAAATCGTGTCTGCTATTAATTATATTCTATAAATATGTGTTTTTTAGGAAAAACTGTTGTTGTTAATCAATAATTTTGATTGAGTGTTTGTTTACTGCTTTCTTAATTAGTCCCATTAGTGTAGTGGATGTTATATTTTGGGGAGAGGCGGTGCCCTTCCCGCTAGATGGTAACATTCGACGCCGACTAACTTCAGTTTGTAGGGGTTTTCCCTCGCCAGATTTCTCCCCCAGCAGGACAGCGCCCCAGCCGTGACAAGCTCTAATCTCCGTACTGTTCTCCCACTGTGTAGTAGCACAGTGCTGGTGTGTATGTATGCGTGTGTGAGTGGGGAGAGGAGCACGGTCCCTGGCCGTTTGTTAGGCAACTGCTTAGACATTCGCCTGGTGTTAATCACAAACCATGCAAAACTACCGATCACAGCAACCGGCCTGTATAATTCAACTTTCGACAGGGGCTGAATAAGACTTAGCTATATAGCTAGTGTCGCACATTCCGCCACTGCCGCGACTCGATCAGTAGGACTTACCGGAGAGTGTTGTCGCATGGACATCGATGTTTTAACTGAAAATTCACAATTTTACTTAGTAATATTTCTTCATTTCCGTCCGTAAAGGGCCAATGGTAAATCCCAATATCCCTGTATCCTTTTCCTTACTCCGGGCCAAAAAAAATCATAATTCAAGTGACTGAGTGAGAGAGCAATCCAAAGTCACTGCGCATTTATTAAAAATTTGTTACAAGAGTAACAATTTTTTAGCAGAGTGTCTGTAAACTATATTATAAGTTGAACAAATCCGAATAAACAGCGCTAAGCTTCTGGAATTTTGTTATAATTTAATTAGGACTGATTGGTCGATGAGACTCGGTTCGGGCGGGAGTATTATTTTAAATAACAAACTCGTCGTTTTCCAATTTGTCGTTTTCTAGTTATTTAAAATATTAATATAAAAATGAATGTTATCTATAATATTCATTGAATTAATTACTTAAATTTCAACACATATATGTCAATCTATTATTCCAGTTACAAAGAATAGCAGAAGTTGTAATCCGAATTGTGTTGTTCTCATGTTGATTCGTACGTACATTTTCAGATCATAGAATCTACAAATATCAGGTTACTCAGAATTACGATTGAATTTAATAACATAAGAACTCAAAGCTGTCAGTATCCCAAAGCTATTTGTAAGGGGAAAAGGAAGTTGTAAACACATTACGACTACGCTGATGTTGAACTAACACATTCGTCCTCCTTCCCCTTCTCCCCACCCGTTTCCTTTAAATCTCGACCAGCTTCCCCGTCCGCGCCATTCCGCCGAAAACTGTCGTTTGAGGACACGTGTCCCCAGCGCTCGGAGCGCCGCGTCACGGCTTGACTGTGTTGACAAACGCGCGGGCGCGCACGTGCACCAACACGTGCGACGGTGTGGTGCGCGTGGCGTGTGGCGGTTGTTTACCCGCGCTTCTGACAACTCGCAAGAGCAAAAGGCGGGCGGCGACAAAAACGCTTCGCAGGCGCCCCGTCCCCCCGCCGGCGGAAGACATCTGGCTCGGCGCGCTTCACGGCAGCGACGCCGTTTCTGGAAGCTGCGACCGCCTTAGATAGCAGCTCAGGGCAACAGTTGGCGTCACTGCAGTGAGGAACGAGAGGTCCTAGGGTTCGATTCCTGACGACGACAGGATTTTCGACATTATCTTGTCATCGAGGTCGAATTCAGCCGCTGCCTGGAGGAGAATTCTAACGGCTGGCCGCTCTGATTGGTAGTTTTCCGTGGTTTCCCCGCTCAACACCAGGCGAATGCCGGAGCAGTACACTAACAAACGGGCCACGGACTGCACGCGAACTATCCTACCCTTTTCTTGCCATATCCTCACTTATGATTTACTGTGTGTTATGTGTGTGTGTAAAGACACACACACATCTACAAGCACTTCATTACCACATATGTCGCGAGATCAGTCGGGGGCTGAAATGTTTGTCCTGGCTGAGGCGGCGCCTTGCTGGAGGGAGATATCTGGTGGAGGGAAAACCCCACTAGGCGATGTGGAGGACCGCCAGATCTCGCATCCAGCGCGGAAAGATCGCAGCACGCATGCACTATACTAACGGGAATAATGATCTTCGCAGTCGACCCGCCCGGAAACGTCAATCAATCAATCAATCAATCAATGACAGTCAAATCAATACGAACTAGGGGTCGGTGGAGAGGACTATTTGGATTCGAGATACGTGACAGTTTTA